GGGGGGCCAATTGCAAAATTATAAAAGAAGAAAATTAAAATATCAAATTGCATCTTTAACTTAAAAACATTGAAGAAGATGAATTTTGCTAGAGTTATAACATATAAAAAGAGATCAAGACTTTTATTATAAAAACTAAAATCACACACTGTAAGTTTATAAATTTTACTTAAAATTTATGTGATTACTCATAGATTTTAGTTTCAAGTAAAATCATTATTACAAAATATTAATATAAATTAACCAATAAAACTAAGATTTTTTAAAGATTTTTTTTTTGTTTGCACATTAAAGATTAATTGTACATTTCAAAGGTTTATACTATTGTAAATCAAGATTGATAACTTAGTGGGTACTAGATACCAATTCAGTCAAATTTTTATTAGTGAAGATATTTTAAATAATTAACATACCAAATTCTAGTCATTTGTATTATGAAGATATGATTAGAGTTTATGATCCCATGCTATTAGATAATTTTCAATGAAATTAATTATTGCATTTGTACCCAAATTAATTCTAGTCATATGCAGGGTGTAATCCTTGGTTAGGGAATAAAATAGCCCATATGATACAATTCTTAAATAACCAATTAAAAGATAACAATTAGAGATATTATAGAAATTAAAATTTTACCTTATTTATAAGTAGTGGTCTTCTACACTAAAAAACAAAACTTACCATTCACCTATAACCAAGTATATGTACAAAATAAAGAAAATTATATATTTTCCTTAAATATTATCAAAGAAAAATGAAAGGTGAAACATAATAATACAAAGTAATTTTAAAATTTTTTTGCAGAGATACTATGTTAACCATTAAAGCCAAATTAACTGAAATTAAAACGAAACCAAGAGATATAATTTAATAATTTCTCAAATAATTAATAAATTCTTATTTTATATTTAAAATCTTAAGGTCCTATTTATATTTTTTAAAAGTATAGGGTGCTAGTTAAAATTTTTTCAAAAGACCAAGGGAGGCCGTGGCACTTCTCGGTCTATATGTGGCTCTGCCGGGGGTATAATCGAATTTGAGTGAAATATGTGTATTTCACAACATATATTTTAAATACCAAAAATAATGTATTTCAAATACTAAATTCATGCTTTAATTTAAAATTTTTAATTTTATAATGAATTCACCTCTCTACTATTACATCTCTCAATTTGTCAATGTTGTTAAAGTCTCCACCATGACTTCTATTTATAGTTTACTCACAAAAATTCTCCCCCTCCCTCTTGTCGTATGTTGACCCCTCAAACCAATCCCACGTGGTCTCTTCTTTCTAGTATTTCGCTCGGTATCCGAAACTTTGCATCGACTAATCCAGACCCGACCCGCATCGTGCACCTGAAAATGGTAGATGAGTCTCCCAGCAAGGGTTGCTGCGTACACAAGGACTCGAACTCGAGACCTTACTTAAACTGAAACAAACCGCTTACCACTTGATCCAACCCCACATGGTATCTTCCCCTTTGAGTTTTCATCATTTCTATTGACGATAGATTCTAGATCTAAACTCGAATATTTTCATTGGATTTTTCTTTTTCTAATTGCCTTCTATTGAAATGTTGTTCATGCTATTGTTTATATTTGCTAGTGAATTTAAATTCTTAAATATGTAATTTAAGTATCCATATGCTAAATCACTAAAAT